GTAGGGAAATACAGAAAATACAAAACACAGTTCTGTTTGAATTTTCTAAAATTGTTTGATTACATAAGATTATATAACAATCTGGGTCTCAATGCTTTGTACCATTATAAAAACAAAAAAATAAGAACTAAAGACATCTAAAGCAGCAGTTCGAACCTGCTAAATAGGACTAGATTACCTTCTTGTTTCTGAAATCCTGAGCATGCATGTTACTGAAATACCATTTCAAGACATTGTTTTCCCAGAAAGAAGTTTCTTTAGACAATGGAATCTCTTGGTATGGACAGGCACGACCACTGTGCAAGGGTAGTTTCAGGTCTGGAGGATGGTACAACATGGCTGAGTTTCAAGTTAAAGCTGAGCATTTGACACTGAAACCACTAAATGGGGATGATAGGCTGGCACTTCGATCTGTGTGAAGAAATGGGGCTTCTCTTTGAGCAGATGCTGCTGCCCTGAAAATTAAAAAAGAAATAAAAAAAATGTCAGTATCGGTGAGTGGTACCTACTTGTCGAAATGAATATGAACTCTGTAGAAACTTTAATTTTTCTGTGCATACCAGAAAGTTATAGAGTGGGAGCTGGCAGGTGGCATGGTGGTTAAGGGCACTAGACTCCCACATGGCTGACAGGGGTTCAAGTCCCAGACCTGGCGACTTACTTTCACTTTCTCTCTCTCTCTCTCTCTTTCTCTCTCTTTCTCTCCTCTGTCCATCTCTGGTCAAATTAAAAATAAATAAATAAATAAATAAATACATAAATAAAGCTGGGATCAGCAGTTAGTGTAATGGCTATGTCACTGGACTCCCACGTAGTCGACCGTGGTTCACGTCCCGGACCTGGTGGCTTAAAACTCACGCCGGGCGCGTGTGCATGCATGCCCAAGATCCCAAGAGGAGAATGGAGGAGAAGGGATTGCGGCGTGACCATCCACCCTGGGGGGTGATTTCTCGCTTTCTGTCTTTATGTCTCTCTCTGTCTGTCTGGTGAGCGCACGCGCCCTATAGCAAAAACCTCTCTACAAAAAAAAAAAAAAAAGAAAAAAAATAAATAAAGTTAAATAAAACAATTTTTTCAAAAAGAAAGTTATAGAGTGGAAAGTAGAAGTCTCTGTATTTCCACTTTCCATAGAAAGTCACCATTGATAATTTGAGCTGTTTTTTCAGGAATGTGATACATACCTACACATATCTTTTTATCCACACAACTGGAATCTACAACTTCCCTTCTTCACCTTACAGACACACTTCCATTTTGGTACACGTGGAGTTAACTTGTGGCACATATACACTGCAGAATACCACTCAGCCATTAAAAAAATAAAAAAAAAAAAAAGACCCTTGATAGAAAGTGGACGAAAATGGAATATTTTATGCTAAGGAAAGCAAGCCAGACTATGAAAGAGAGGTACTGTATGTCCCCACTTAATACATACTGAATGTCTGTATTCTATGGCAGACACTGAAAGATTGGAAGGTAGAAAAGCAAAGAGAGCAGCTGTAGATACTAGAGATAGCATGGGAGAAGGGCGAGAAATGGAGGAACGGGTGGGAGGAAATCAAAGAAAAAACATTTAACAGAAACAAAAGTGGAAAATTATCTGTCGATGACAATGTATATAGTAATATTTTTTAATGGACTAATAAACAGTGTATTCATGCTGGGAAAATTCATTTTGTATGCTGTAAAGGCATAAAGTGGTTAATATAAAAAATTAAGAAGAACATTTTTACGAAGAGAAAAAAATAGTTTGAAGAGAATTGGGGTTAATTTTTCTTTAAAAGCTTTGCAGAATTCAGAAGTGAAGCCATCAGGACCTGTGTTTTTCCTTATTGGGAGACTATTACAGATTCCATTGCATGGTTTGCTATTGGTCTACTCAGGTTCAATCAGGGAATATTGTATGTGTCAAGAAACTTGCCCTGAATTTCTATCCTATGTATATACCATAGATTAGCAAAGTTTCCTATTGATGGGTTCATGATAACCTAATTAATGATTAATTACATCATCGGAGTTAAATTGATGAAGAAAACCTGTCCTAACACAAACACACTAAGAGAGGGCCTGGCCAAATATGAAATGTTTTCTTAGCAAAGAGCAACTGAACACTAGATTTTCTAGAACAAGAATTAGCAGATGCTTTTAAATCAATATAAAGTTAAATTTTTAAAATAATGGAACCATTTAATGTTGGCTAGGAAATGCAACCCATGGATAAGTGGCCTGGTCCTTAAAGTTCTAGATTGTGTTTCTCACCTCTTCTTTTTTGTTGAAGGAATCTCCTGGTAAGTTTATATTAGAGCTCCTGCTGCTGGAAACATTCTGCAACTGCATCACTGATTCAGGTTTTAATCTTTATTATTTTTTTTAATTTGACCAGAGAAAGAGACATGGAAAGTGAGAAAGCAAACTTCTAGGTCTGGGATTCGAACCATTCTCAGATATGTGATAGTCCAGCGTGTTAATCACCACACCACTTGCTAGCACCTGATTCAGTTTTTATCTCAGACTTCACTCATTCAAAATTGTAATTATTTTGCTTTGAAATAATTACCTAATTAACATGATGATAGTTTGTTTCTTAAGAAATCAAAACTACTATGGGGCCAGCAGGTGGCATGATGTTTGAAGGCACTAGACTTTCACATGGTCAACGGTGATTTGAGTCTTGGACTGGTGACATGCTTTATCGCTTTTCCTCTCTCTCTCTCTCACACTGTCCCTCTGTGTTCAAGTGAAATAAATAAATAAGTAAATTCAAATAAAATAATAAAAAAAGAAATCAAAACTACATAGAAATAAATGCAGCAATACTGAGTCAATATTCATCTTATTTCAGTTCATACTGTCTTCACCAGCAGTTACCACAGTTTGAAGTTTATCTTTCTGGACTTATTTCTATCATTTATGTCCATTGTTGTGCACAAATAGAAAAATGCAATTTTGTTTCCTTTTCTTTACACATCCAGGTTTATATATCCATTAGGTTGTCACAAGCTTTTATTGTCAGTATCAGTTTGGAATTGAGGGCAGTTTTATGCACTGTTTGCAGTTAACTTTGGTTTTAAAAATTCTTTCTTGCTATTAAATTTATAAATTCAGGGGCCAGCAGTTAGCATAATGACTATGTCACTGGACTCCCATGTAGCTGACCGCGGTTTGAGTCCCAGACCCGGTGACTTAAAGTCATGCTGGGCACGTGCGTGTGCATGCCCAAGATCCCGAGAGGAGAATGGAGAAGAAGGGATTTCAGTGTGGCCATCCCCCCTAGGGGGTGATTTCTCACGTTCTGTCTCTCTGTCTCTCTGTCTCTCTGTCTTTCTGGTGAGTGCATGCACCCTATAGCAAAAACTTCTTCAATAAATAAATAAATAAATAAATAAATTCAAAGCCTTCATTTTCTCATAGTTTTCTATTTTATTTATGAGTCATATGGTCTATTTAAAAACTTAGTGGGGAGCAGCAAGTGGCATGATGGTTAAGGGCACTGGACTCCCACATCGCTGACTATGGTTCGAGACCCGGATCTAGCAGCTTGCTTTCGCTTTCTCACTTTCCCTCTCTCTCTCTCTCTCTCTCTCTCATGCTCTGTGCCTCCCTGGTCAAATTAAAATAAACAAATAAAGTTAAATTTAAAAATTATTTTTTAAAAAACCTAGTGAACTCTGACAAAAACATATAAGGGTGCTTCTCACTTATTTAATTCTATTGAATGTTTTAAATGCATGTTATTTTTTGGTTAAATTGCTGTTGTTATTACTATTATTATCTTAAGAGGTTTTTGCCCTAGTGCATGTGCCCTCACTAGAGAGAGAAGAGAGAGAAACAGAGAAAGTGAGAGGGAAAATGAAAAATCATCTCTTGGGGGGATAGTCATGCCACAACCCCTTCTTCATGCTCTTCCTGGGATCTTGGGCATGCACGCATACATGCCCTGTGTGAGTTTCAAGCCACTGAGTGTGGGACTCAAATCACAGTCGGCCACGTGGGAGTCCACTATGTCACCTGTTAGCCCCATAGGTTAAATTATTTCAATCTTGAGTCTAAAATATTACATTTTCTTTTTAAAATATTTTAAATGGGGCCAGCAGGTGGCATAGTGGTTAAGGTGCTGGACTCCCAAGTCTAAAATGTAGTAGTTACATAGGAGCTGGACAGTTGTACACAGGTACAACACAACCCTCTGCGAGGCAATGGGAAACGTTCTGGGTTTGTCTCTGGAGACTCCCTGAGTATGCCTATTAGGTGTGTGACCTCAATCTGGGGCTCGCTGAGGCTAAGGGTGGGTCTCAGCATCAAGACACTGTTGGGGGTACAGTCTCTCTAATGCTCTGTCTCTCTCTCTCTCTCCCCCTCTGTCTCACTTTCTTACAGACTAAATCAGTAAAATATTTTTGAAAAGTAGTTACACATATTGGGATTATAGGATTAATCCAACAGCTAGTTTTATATGCTAAATTCTCTGAGCTGTTACAAATAAATTAAATACCAAAACATATACAATGTCCCTAAACTTGCTACAAAATTGTCTTAAACATGGGTTCAATTTATATCAATAGTTGTTTGTTTCATGCTAAACGTGGCATGGTGGTTAAAGGTGCTGGATTCCCACATGGCCAACCGCAGTTCGAGTCCCAAATCTGGTAACTTGCTTTCTCACTTTCCCTCTCCCTCTGTCTCTCTTTGGTCAAATTGAAAATAATAATGTTAATGTTAAATAAAGTTAAATAAGATAATGCTAAAACAAAATTTGCCATTTGCCTTTGTCCTCCTTACTCACTTCTTATTTCAGTAAGGTGAGTACATCTGTTTTGTCATAAACTCACCAACCTGAAGATCATCAGTCTGTGGGATTTTTGGTCAATCTTATAACCTTCCAGCTTGTAAGACTGTTTCAGTTAGATTGTTCATGAGGATGTTCTGTAGTAATATATTATTACTCTATCACTGTCTTTAACCTCCACATTTTATTTTATTTATTTTAATTATACCATTCGAGGGCTGGCAGATGACATGATGGTTAAGGGCACTGGACCCCCACCTGGCTAACTACTTTCTCACTCTCTCTCTCTGTGTCACTCTCTCACTCTGTCCATCTCCGGTCAAGTTAAAATAAATAAATAAATATTTAAAAAGTAATTGCACCATTAGATTTAATCATCACTTTTTTTAAAATAGATTTTTGTTATAGGAGGCATGCACTTGGCAGAGAGACAGAGAGAGAGAGAGAAAGAGACAGAAATGAGAAATCACCCCTCGGAGGGAATGGGCCACACCACAATCCCTTCCCTGCCATCTCTTGGGTTTTTGGCAATGCACACACACACATGCCTGTTATGAGTTTTAATCCACCGGTCCAAGACTCGAACCATGGTCAGCCATGGGTGTCCATTGCCTCAACCACTACGCCACTTGCTGGTCTCTAACCATTCACTTCTAATTGGACATTTAG